GCGGCGAGGAAGGGGGGAGGGGGGGGGGAGGGGAGAGGGAGCGGTTCGATGCCTCCAAATAAGTCCGCGCCTTCGGCCAAATAAAATTCCTCCATTACTACCACCACTCTCTGTTACTGTGCGCGGCGCCCGATCGCTGCTGAAATTACCCAAGTTTTCGGTAAAATGCAATATTTTTCGCGGAGAATGTATACCGCGCGAACGCCAACGCATTTGCCGAGTATAGCGGCGCGTATATATTTCCTTAGCGGAAAACACCGAAGCTCGGAAACGCCATTTGCCAAGTTCTGACATTTTGACGCAATAGACGTGAGACAAGAACGCAACACGAAGAGGGAGGAAGAAAATGAATTCGAAATTCGATTCTGACGCGTTTCACCGTGTGCATATTATTTCGCGCGCGTGTCATTCATGTTCAAAAACTCGGAAAAACGCTGTCAATTCAACGATCCGGTGGTAGGATGGTCAAATCCATTGAACACAATCATATTTGAAAAATCGATTCTCCGCAACGGCGTTCAAGTTTCACTACACTGATGATATTTTGCACTCGGGATTTGTACAAGCTTTCAATCAAAACAACATCGATGAATATAGTTTTCACCTCCGTACGTGTTTAAAAAGAAACATCGCGTATATCTTTCACTTGTATCTTTCATTATTCAAAATATATATTATTAGAGGATTTATCGTTGCACGTATTCCATCTAAATATATATTTTGGGAATAGAGAATAAAGCCAAAATTGCTCGATAGTTTTCGTTGTCGTTCGCATATTATAGTCATATATCGATTTTGCGATTCATGAGATGGATATATTTCGATGGAAATTGTGTGTATATTCGCCGCGCGACGTATCCATCGAAATGCTAAAACGGGGAAAAAACGCGAGTGCGAGGAAACAGCGATTGAAGAATTGAGAGTCTTGACTACTGAAGCGCACTTTAAGCGCACTCGCGATGCACACTTGAGCCGAACGCCATATCTATTTACATTTGAGTCAGTGGATATGTCGAAAAGTGTCGGCCCCTTCAATACCAAACGCTCGTGCATGCACAAAACTCTCCAATTCACTTCTCGTCTCGGATAATCTTCCCGCGTCTCTACTCGACGAGAAATCCGATTTGAAAGTATCACAATTATTTAAGGAAATTTAAATAATTATTACCGTGTTTTTTTTTCTTTTTCTTGCTCTCTCTCTCTCTTTTTGTAAATTATCAGAAACTGCGATTTGATCGACATCAGAGAAAAACTGTCGTGGATCAGTTTTGTACAGTGATTTGTCATTTGTGATATAACAAAAAAAAAGATCGATTGATTCTACATCAACAAAAAAAGTCGAAAATATAGAATAAAGTTCTTTCATGCCAAACTTTGCTTTCGATTCGGAAAATCCATTGTGAAAATTGAGAAATTAATATCTTCTGTCATTTTGAAGTTTGAGTCATCTTGAATTATTTCGCGAAATCGCTTCGAAAAATAGTCCAGCATATCTTGACAAGTATAAAAAAAATATAGAAAATTTCAACATTCTATTTAAAAAAGGTAACAAAAAGTAATTAAAATTATTTATAAAAAAAATATTAAGATTATTTTCTTATTTTCTTAACTAGAATATTGTGTGTTATTTATTATTCATATATTTATATCCACTATAGAATAAAATTTGTTCATGGCACGGTACTGTTAAAAGTTGTGCAAGTTTAATATAGAGAAAAGAAAAGTCATTAATCTTCTGCGACAAATTTGAACATTTTTATTTTTTCGAAAGTAAAACTTTATATAAAGTAAAACAGAGTTTACTTCTTTTTTATTCTCAAATTATTTTTTTATGTAAAATCATCTTTTCTTGCAGTTAAATCATTAATAATATACGTAACCGTCCTACGCATATACAGAAAACCTAAAATATGATAAAAGTGATATAAAACATTTAAAAATGCTTTAACAATGAAAGATCGTCAAACCATAAAACAAGTAGACAGATTTATTTCATGTATGATATCAATGCGATTAGTTTGATATTTTTCAGATATTCGATACAAATATTTGACTTATGCGGGAGCGCGTCTACTCGTCTCACGGATTTTAAATCAAAATCACCCATTCCTCCCGTGTTGGCGTGCATAATAAGCTCTTCTACTCGATCCACCGTACTCGAGTACGGTACTCTAGCGGACCATTCCTATATTTCATACTGATTTACACGAACAAAAGACCGATAAAACCGACGACAAACGTCGCGGCGTAGCGTGTAGCGAGAACACCCTTGTTATCAATCGCGCGGCGATTTAATGAGAGATTCGCTATCTATTCCATTCGGAGTTTTATATTGTAATATTTGCTGTCGCGAGATCGATAAAATTATTTCAAACAATTTTTTTAAATTCATATTTTAGAATACAAAGTTTAATGTTCTCGTGCATTGACAGTGCAAATATCGCGGTCTTGCTATCGTAAATTTTAACGGATATAAAAATGCTCTCTCACATAACTGGATAAATTGTGGAACAATTTTCCGTCGTTCGTTTTACGCCGCTCCACATCTAAATTAATCTGCAAAAATCATAGGAAATATTTTGTTTGACGTGCTACGTTCAATTCGATGAATTATCGGATATATAATATAGTACAAAGTTTGGAGATGAGAAAACGAGTGAGCTCGACAAATGAACTCAATTCGCGCATCGTGTACCATTTCGAACGAGTGTGTATTAATAGCAAGTACGTTCATATACGAGCGAATATAAAATGCTCGACGACTATCGAATAGAAAGCAAAATCGTGTAACGTGAAAATGCATGTCATAAAATACGCATTAAAAAGGAAGAAAAATATATTTGCGTATAACCGGCGCGACGTGGTGGTAAAAGAAAAACGTATCTCGTGAAAAATAATCAGTCGTCGCTCGAGAAGAGATTAGGGTAAAGATATCTTTCGCTAGAATATTCCTACAAATAAATCTGTTTTGTATATAATGCATGGTTAAATATTTTCCTTATAAAATTACATATTTATCCGACGGCTGATGGTACGGATTTTGTAATATTAATGTTTTTGTGGGTAATGACCTGGCTGAGAAAAACAAAGAGGTCGATTCCATCCCGTGCGATCACAACGCAAAACTCTAGTCTTTTTACGCTCACTGCACTTAATTACGTTAAAAATAAGTTCAGTCGGAGTAATTAATTTTAGATTCACGTAAAAGTTTAATCACAAAGTTTTGGCCGGGCGCGGTAGTATTCGGAAAGTATCTTTTTAAGGGGCTGTAAAGGCCGAGGAGAGCGACGAGTGAGTTTAAAGATATGGAGGAGTGGATGTGCCAGCACCTTAATCTTTTCCCCGGCAAAGTTTCTCCCGTCGCAAATCTTGCCGCGCGAGCGCGAGCGTGAGGACGTGAAGCGCGGCCCTTGTACCCACCTTCCCCAAGGGAATACAGGAACGAGCGTGTAAATCAGGAGACACTCGACTTTTTAAACAGTAGATTACCTTCTGTTCGTTTGAAGGTAGAGAGAATCGCCGTATTTCACCAAGCGCGACAGGCGCACAAATATTCGTTATAAATCGATATATCTTTGCAAAAATTCTCCCGTACTGTCGTATTGTTAATTATTTTTCGTAGCGTTGCGAGGGAGAGAGAGAGAGAGAGAAAGAGGAAAATCCATGTACGGGAGATTATAAGAGAAAAAAAAAGAAAACAAGAAACGCGATTTATATCTGAGAGATTGAAAGATTGCGCGCTAGCGGAACTCATAATTCCGACACGCCGGTTATTGATACGGTGGATGCTTCGATATATCAGGAGGATGCCATATAGAAATCCGGCGCGCGGAATATAGATCGGTAGGCGGAAATAAATTCTTATACGTCCGGACGCGGATTAAGCGACGGGAGAAATTTACGTCGCGCGTCGCCGCGCTTTGGTAAATCAAGATCCTCGGTTCGCTTATGGATGCGCTGGGTACTGTGTCGTGGCAACGTTACGACATAAGGAAGGAACGTAATACGGTATGCCGTTATTTTCAAACCGACTCCCTTCCCCTTCAGGATATGTATGGGCTAAAAAAAGAACGTTTTGTGTATTTTAAATCGAGCAAACATATCTACACGTATGTATACGTTTGTCTTGATACGAGGTGACGTTAGAGGTGACGATTTCGTCGCAGCGTCTGCCGCGTTTGGAGAGCGAAAAGCGAGTTACCGGTAAATTACCTTTGCGCTTGCAAAGCAAAATCAATTACGCCGAGTATCAGCGAGTTCGCTTCGTACGATCACGTAGCAACGTAATAAAGGAAAGTCCTTCGTTTATGTCGCTACGCGAGCGCGACTCGTCACACATTTCGAAACATCTCTTAACTTTATGAGTTCCTCCCGGAGCCAAGGAGCGAACAATTAAAGGAAAAGCTGCGAGGAGGATCGGAGCCGCGTGACAATACATTATGAAAGTCGAAACGAACGTAAATCCGGATAGTAAAATTCGCGGAGGGGAGAGGGACAAAGGGTTACTCGGAGGATTTCTCAATTACCGAAATGGAATGTGTGACAAACGTAGGTAACAGGGAGCGAAAACAGAGAGACGTAGACGACGACGGTGACGGTGAAGTGACAAGCAGCCCGACGGGATTTTAAGCCCGAGATGTCACGAGAGTTTAGCTAAACGGTTAGAGAGGCTATCTAACGAGAAATCCTTTTGTCCCGCAGGATAATCTTTCCTTTCCATCGCTGGCCCGACTGAGCGCGCGATGAGAGATCTTTTGATATGAAATTAAATCGTACGATCTTTCTCGCAACGTAAACAAGTATAATATTATAACGAAAGAATAAACAAATATAATACAAACACGCGCGCGCGCGCGGACAAAGGTTGGAGAGAGATGCGCGAAAAGCGAAGAGGAACGGTTCTTTCCATTAACTCGTTCGCGTGGTCGAGTCTTATGCCGTATCGGGGAATCTCTCAGGAAGGAATTAGACGGGTCCTGGTGTAGACATCGAGGGCTTACCGTAGAGCACGGGAGCATCTGATAGGGGCGACCACCTGTCTCGTATTTCAACTTCTTCCCGGCTCAACCGGCTCTTCCGCATTGTTCGCCCCGTATGCAGCGAAAAGCACGTTGCTACGAAAAACCCTGCATTTTCAGACGTACCATTTCCTTTTTCCGGAATGCGCCCCGACTCTGTATGATATATACATACATGTATATATATATATACCGAATAACTCGCGTGAAAATAAATCCCATTATTGTATTTACACATTCAATTTTGATAAAAGAAACAAGATTATATACGTATAACTATACGAGTTGAGAGAGAAGAGATTATTAACGCGTCAGGTAACGAGATAGGTAATAGGAAAATTAATTTGAACGTTACTCCCGAAGATGAGCCTGTAATTCAAGTCGCTCCTTCAAACGTTTTCGCTAAACTCACGGGACGCGAAATTAATTTTGCGGTTATTCTCATAAGGGCGAGTTCTCCGCCCTCAAATACGCATCTGCAATAATATATCGTGTAATATAAAGGCGCGCGGGTAGGATGTATCACTAGACGGAGAAGCAAGATTCCCGGGAATGAATTGACTTTGCGAGAATTCGCGACACGTAATAAAGCAAATAAACGCAAATATTTCTCTCTATCGCGGGGGGGGGGGGGGGGAAAGATGACAATAACATTGTTATAATTGCGGCAGGATTTTCGAGTCTCCGGGAATTGCTGTCGCGATGTAACCCAAATCAGTCAGCGCCGTGATTGTTGCGTCGACGGCAGAGGAGGAAGAGGAGGAGGAGGAGAAGAGAAAAACGAAACGTTGGTGCACATAGGACGAAACATCACATCACATTCGATCCTCACATCGAACCGGAAAATTGTACCGCGCGCGAAACAGACTCGAACCAATTTTTTTTTCTTCTCCTGCCCATTCTCCTCCCTCACTTTTCTCTCTATCCCGTTCCCAAATGTATCCTCACCGCGCGGCTTCAAAACGAAAATATATGTACTGATCGATGAGGGGGGGACTCGCTGTTTGTTCATGGCTGCGAAACGAGATTTTTGCGGAAACGGAGAGAAAAATTGCAATCGAGATTTGTGGAGCGTTTCGATTGACGGAGTCTATTCTTTTTTTTTTATTATTATTTTTTGCACCGAAGGAAAACTGTCAGAGATTTTATTTTTTTTTTTTTTATTAATATTTTTTTTTTTTTTTTATTTCGAATAGGTTACTCGCGATACACCGAGATCTACGGGGGCGACGTGCAACAGTCTCTTGATCGTTATGCTCGCGGGGATATTCGTCACAATGGCTTCGCCATTTTAGATTAGCTCGACTCTTCGATGGGATTTGGAAAGAGAGATTCGTTCTTTCCGGCAATACGACAACTTCTCGTTATAATGATTCTTTGAGAGAAAATGTATCTTTCAAATTAATATAGAAAGACTTTTTATTATTTTTCACATTTTAAAGAGACGAAAGCGTGTGACATTATTTGTTTCTAAATTATCGCCGTTGCTCTCTGTCTGAATGCTGAATTAGTGATTTTACATTTATCTCAATATCAGTTGACGCGTTTCGCTGCCATATTTAACAATATATATTAAGACAAGGCACAAAGAATCAATATACGCCGTGATTTTAGAACTTTGTAGATTTAAATATTGCCAAATAACTTTGAGAAAATTAATTATATTAACAATAAGTGAAAATCTCTCTTGATTGTGTATTATATATGTTCGGGTTCTTAATGAAAATTGACATTAGCGACAACGAATTTAAATGCTTATCTCTCGCGAAATTAACTCGCGATGAACTTTCTGAATGTTTAAGCAAATATTGTTCTCTCGAAAAGCTCTCCGAAATGACAGAATGGAAAATTGACGGAAAATAATTTCTTTGTCGATAAAAGAATATACTCCGTATATTCGATAAATTTTTTCGCAATTGTGCGAAATACATTGTGTTCGATATGTACATACATGCATATAAGAAGACATTTTCGATTACAATGGAGAAGTAACATGCCGTTCAATTTACATGCAAAGCAACAAGAATTCGCCGGAGATAAATGTGCGGTAACTGTGCCTTATTTTACCGCTTTGCTCGTTGACATTACCGAATCTAGACATAATTGGGCATTTGAATACACTGTTATTACCATATATTCCGCTAAAATGTCACACTTTATGCGTGTTTACCGTACGACATGTAATTACTATGGTTTGTCTCTCCCTCGTACCGTTTTACAATGCCTTTGAAAAGAAAAAGAATTAACGCTTATACACCATATCGCATCCTCATTTGTCAAATTGGATTACGATCGTCCACCCCAGCCGGAGTTGTTAATCAGCGCCGTGAATGTTTATTTTTATCAATGCAATTAGGCAACGTGACACGACACTCGGAGAGATTTTAACGTCAGACTACATAATAATATTGTAACATTTTATTCTTCTTTTTCGCGTCGCAACCGCGTTTCGTCGTTATTATTTTGCATTTTGTATGTGTATTTCGCGCGGTACAGCTAATTAACGTTTCGCGTACCTTCTACGTAGCGTGGCGTTAATTATTCCCGTCCTCGGCTATAATAAATTTATCAACAACCGTATATTATTTAAATCGCATGCTGAAACTAGGTCTTTCGTTCTTGCATTCAGCAGAGTATTACATCAGCTCTCTTTGTCACTCGATGCTCGAACTTTTTATGCATAGATTTTTTTTTTTTTTCACATGCAAGAGATTATTCACATCACATACTTTATATTTACACAAGATGTGTGTATACAGATCATAATAGAATTTCTCGAGAGTATCGAAATATACGTCTACGTAAAAATGTTCTCGTTGTCCCGCGAGTCTCGACGAAGAGATGCCCACATTCTCGTATACCGGTGTATCAATAATTTTAATTATTTTATTCGCTGTACGAGAAAAATAATCGATCGATCGAGCGGCCGGGACAAGGCGCGACGCGCGCTGGCGGAAATAGATCTGGCAGTTGCTCTCTACGCCAGTTCCGTCGTCGTGCTCCAGCGGTTGCAAAATTCATACCCGGCCGAGGGCGTCGAAGTTTTCTTAATAACGGAATCCTGAATTCCGGCTGTTTCTCGAAGTAGGTCGTGCTCGATGCGATTTCCTAGGTCGTATCTCCATTTCCTGCGCGCGCGACTCCTCCGTATCTATCCAACCGGCTTCGCGTATCGGAGTTTCTCCTCGGGGACATAATTTTAAAACAGGGGCTACGTCTTTATAACGGTTAGAGAGGCGCAACCCTCTCTCTCTCTTCCTTCCCCGAGTTTTAATAAGACAATCGATGATGCAAATATGCTGTTACACTTCCCTTTACTCGGATCAATTCGCTTATTCGTTATTTCGGGTTTCCCATTGAAATTTTCTATATTTATGATTTCTTCAAGAGGGATAAAGAATCCACGTGTCAGTTGGGGCGCTAAAGTGCCCGCTAAAGTGCACGTGACGGTACGTGTAAAAGCGCGGGTACCAGCGACAAAAAGTTTTCTCGTATATCAAGGCGATGACTGCGGAAAAAAAAAGAACGCACCGCGCCACCGTCAAGCCGCCGTGCGTGCCTGCGTGGGCAACGAATAAATTCAAGCAATAAAGCTCGCGTAAAACGATCTCGGAGAGATCGAGAGAATTTTTTCTAACCGGATAAACAGATAAAACGTCCTACGAAACAATTTTGAACAATTCTCGGTTTGCATATTTAAAGAAAGCGTAACATCAATGTCTGATAACATTATTTTAAATATACGCGTTAGTGACACATTTCGATATGCAATAATATTGGAAATCTTTACTCGCGTCTAATTAAATGTAATATTTAAATGTATAAAACAAATTATATTAAAAAAATAATTTAATTACTTATTTAATGATGTTTCCTCGAGTAATTATATATTATTATGTATAATAGACTGCGCCACTAAATTATTAATCGTATAAGGAAATAACAATATTAATTCATCAAGCACGAGTGCACATATAAAGGAAAGGACGAGGAGGAGAGATTTAAACTCTCCGCATTTCTATTTAATTGGAAAAATTAATAATTATTTTTATACGACGCAAAATCATATTAAGGAAACCTCGCTACTTTGCGAGACATCGTTAAGTACATCATTATTTCACAGCTGATTGATTCGAGATGTTTCCACTAACTATACGATAATACTTGAAATATCATAGCGAATTAAATAGAGATGTCAAATACAGTATTTTCTGGTATGTAACATTCCTATTATATCGTGTGAGCGATCGATATGCTAAAAACACAATCCCTTTCGTCAGAAGTAACTCGAAATTTGTAAAATGGAAAATTTCATATTTTTCATCGTTTTTAAGCCGATATTTGAGATATATGTATGTATATTGACAAAATATATGACTGAATAATTTTTAAAATCATCATGATGGACCCCATTACGTTTAAAAATATAACTATACACGCGATAGATGGTATATAAATAAAAATTGATAAAATTAATTAAATATATGTATATTATAGAGAGAGAAAGAGAGAAAGAAATTATACCTGACTCTCTCTTGTCATCAATGTATAGGACACGCAAAAAAAAGAAATAGAAGGTGAATACGGACTCTGTAAAATATAGTTAGCAGTGCCACATGATACGTCTTATGCTAGTAAAAAGTGTAACTACCAGGAATGACTTTTTGTGGGAGAGAAGGTTAAACGGCGAAGAGTCGAACGATCGCGCCTCGAGGGGGATACATTTCGGCTTTTTCTCTTTCACGTAAAAGTTGACCTTACGCGTTTAAACGGTTCGTTAAGTTGATTCTCTCGGTTAGATTTTCATTTAATTTAACGACAGCGGCGTTTTTCAGTTCTCTCCCCCTAACTTTGAGAAAATTAATTATATTAACAATAAGTGAAAATCTCTCTTGATTGTGTATTATATATGTTCGGGTTCTTAATGAAAATTGACATTAGCGACAACGAATTTAAATGCTTATCTCTCGCGAAATTAACTCGCGATGAACTTTCTGAATGTTTAAGCAAATATTGTTCTCTCGAAAAGCTCTCCGAAATGACAGAATGGAAAATTGACGGAAAATAATTTCTTTGTCGATAAAAGAATATACTCCGTATATTCGATAAATTTTTTCGCAATTGTGCGAAATACATTGTGTTCGATATGTACATAC